TCGGTTTGAAAATATTTCGTGGGTTTTACTATACTCCCGCCAAAAATTTTCAGACCGTTTAGGGTTTGAATATTGAAAATTGACCATGACTTTGATACCCATCATTATTTAGACCAATTGTGGTCTGAATAAATATTTTTTTAGACTACTGGTAATTGGTTTGAATTATTTTGGTCTAAATTTCAACAATTTCTAGTAGGGTCCTCCATTCGTCTCAACTCAAAGATACTATTAGATGATTTCATTAAACATTAATTAATCATTAAGTAAAATTTTAATTTTTAATTTATTAATTAAATAACTTGATCTTTTATTTTTATTTAATCTAAAAAAATGATGAATTTGTGAACCTGATAATACCCCTCTTCTTTCTCCATCCTCCTTTTCTCTTTCCTTTGTTCTTTTTATTACTTTATTAATTGATATAATTTGTTTGTTATAGTTCGAAAAATAATAATGTAATTTTTTGTAATAGCCCATATAAATGTCACATAAAATTAAAATTAAAAATTAATTATTAGTACAATAAAAAATAAATTTTTAGTTGTAGGTCCTATAAAATTATCACATTTATAAAACAAATAAGCTTAAGGAGTGTTTAGAGGTTATTGAAAATTTTAGAGTCATTAAAAGAAAAAATGAAAAAGTTATAGACCATTTTGAATATTAACCAATTAGTGTTAATAGTGTTGATGACTAATTTTACAGGTTTAAAGGTTCTCATTTGATTGGGACCTCATTTAAGAATTTTTATGATTTTAAGACCTTATTTGAGTGTAATAGAACTTTAGGATCTCAATTGTAAATTTAGTAAAAATTAAGGCTCTATTCAAGACTTAAGCCCTCTGTTAAGCATGAAAATTTAGTATTGAAAAAATAATAAAAAATTATGAGTTAAATAAAAAAGTCAATACTTATTGATAATCAATTTTAGAAGAGATGGAAGCGTGTTTAAAACACTGTCATCCATGTTAAAAGGCTGTCATTAGGGATGGAAATATTTTTCAAGACAAAAAATATTTTTTGTAATAAGTGGAGATGGAGGTTTTTTTTTTTCATAAAATTTTGTTAGAAATCTTCTGCATGTTATGGGGACTTTGTGACGATTTATACATAATAAAAAAATATAATTTTATTTATATATGTTTTTATAAATATATTATTAATTAATTTTTTATTTATCTAACTTAATTGACTACCTTAATTCAACTTAAATTGTCTAATCAAATTCTTTTTTCAATGTTTTCCAAATGCAATTTAATAAATCAATTATCACTTGTATAGTAGTATATATTTACTAGAATTAGACATCGTTAAATTATATGCATAATATATTTACTTATTTAAATTATTTCAAAATTTGATTTTTTTATTTATTAGAAATTAAATTAAATTTTATATAATTAATATTTAATAAAAAAATTATATACCTATGACTATGAGACCTACCATTTTCCTCGCTACTAGAACAGAGAGTTTTCTTTGATCTTGTTAAAAATTTCCACAAAAATCCTCATTCTTATCGTGAACAAGTGATCAGGGTGGAAATGGGAATGGGGATGGGAGGCGTACCTAACCCGTTACCATCTCTAGGTGTCATCTATTTTAAAAGCTGTCATCAATTACTAACTATAATTAATATTTAATAAAAAATCATATACGCATCTAACATTTTGGGTCAACTGACACCCTTCTAACTTGAGGTGCATTTTCTCTTTTTAAAACTCGTCCCTTGATAACTTGTTCAAAAATAAAAAATAAAAAATCATATGCCTATGGAATCTATCATTCTTCATGCTATGAGAACAGAGAGTATTTTTTGACCCCCTGTCAAAAATTTCCATAAAAATCTTCATCCTTATCATTAACAGGTGAATGGGAATGGGAATGGGAGGCATACCTACTTTCGTGTGGACCAATTATCATCCATAGGTGATCGGGATGGAAATGGGAATGAGGATGGGAGGCGTACCTAATCCGTTACCATCTCTAGGTATCATCTAGTTTAAAAGTTGTCATCAATCACTAGCTATAATTAATATTTAATAAGAAATCATATACCT